CCAACCACCAGCCATGCGGAGCTGCTACCGACCTCGGCTCAGCACCGGAACGGAGCTGCCACCGCCTCATCAGGGCTGACTTCGGCTTTACATTCCTCGGGCACCGTCGGGCTGATAACCGCACCGACAGCCCGGATCTGGGGGTTAGCAGAACGTGCCCGTGTAACGGGGTGCTCCAGCGCTCACACCAAGCCCCTGTCCCTCCGGCAGTAACCGCTTGCAGCCAACTCCGGTGGAGCAGCCGGCACTGTGGTGCTGCCGGGACCCCACACTGGAGCAGCAGGGATGGATCCAGCACACACCACCCTGAAAGCCGCCCCCAAGCAGCAGTGCCCACGCAGAGACCCAAGCACCCGCCGGAGGCGCGGGGCACACCTCGGCGTGGAGCAGTCGAGTGCGCGGAGAGAGGCGCCGGCGCTCGGACACGCTCAGATAACCGAATTTGCTCACAGAGGCGCGTGGCGGAGGCTCACGCCGAGCCAGCCCCACGCGCACGCACGGAGCCGTCTGTTAATTTGTTATCGTTTAAGTCATTCAGTTCGCAAAATGTCAACAGCATTTTAAAAACCCGCCACCTGGAAAGCGCGCTGTCGCCCCGTGTAATACCCGCAGCAGGGCTGCCAGGCCGCGCTAATTAAAATGAGTGGGATTTGAACTGTCTAAACGAGGCACATCGCTAATTTGTCTGCTTCAAAACAGAAAAACTAAAATGCGCTTTTCAGCGGGGCAGGGAAGGGCGAGCGGCCGGGGCCGAGCCGGGCGCCAGTGCCCCTCTCCTGCTCCCTGGTTTCGGTGCGCTCACGGTGAGCAGCGGCACGCTTGCAGGAGCTGCAGCTTTGCAAACCACAGCCGAGGGCCCGCTGGGAGCTGAAGCGGGCGCCTGGGCAGAGCCCTGTGCCCGGCACGCCTTGCTCCATGCAGGGCATGCACCACTTGGGCCAGCGCAAACTTGTAGTCCCCGTGCCCATGGACCTGCGCCCATGTCTCGGGGTTTCCCCTTCCCTACGGCTGCCAGCCCGGGGTGAGAGGGACGAGGAGCCCTGTCCCCACTTCCACTGAGCCCTCGAGTCCCTGAGACACAGGGACACCGGCTCAGGGCAAGGACAGGGCAAATCCCCGGGTCCCCTGCGAATTGCAGTAAGCGAGAGGAGAGACCCTGCTTTGGCACACCAACAGATGCCAATTCACAACATTTTCAAGCCAAATGAAAAGCTCAGCTTTGAGCAAATCCAGGTTTCTGTTACTCCGACTGGAAACGTGCAGCCCTGGCCCCTCTCAGCAGCAGGGACCCTGTGTCCCCCCCCAGCCGTGGAGCCGGGGCAGGTCCCCCTGCCGCGGTGCATGGCTGCGGGAGGCAGCCAGGTGATTCTCCATCCAGCAGCTACAGGGTAATTACCGTCCCCTCAGCAGCTTGCACTTAAATGCTCGGGAAAATAGAAAGCATGGGCGTGCTCCGGAGAACGTGCCAGCAGCAGGGCTGCACCCCGGGGCTCACCACAGCCGACCGGGGCCCAACAGCGGCGTCCTCTGTGCTGCACCTCTGCAAGCTGCACGTGTCCGGCACGGAGCGGCCCCTCGCCACGGGACGGCTTTGCCAGGAGAGGCTGGGGGGCTCCCCCTGCTCCCCCGCCAGCCCCTGCCCCGACGCTGGAGAGCTCAGCAGTGATGGGGTGGCTTTGCCCGCGGGGGTGGCAGCAGCTTCGGCTGCCTTGTCTTCATGCCCTGCAATGCATGGAAAAATAAAAGAGGAGGGTGCTGGGCTGCACAGGGCTGGTGGGGTGGCTGGGGGTCACTCCAGTATTGGACGCAGGGCAGCCCCCACCCCTCTAGGACAGACTGCATCGATGCCATGGCCAGGGTGATGCACACCATGGGACGGGGCTGATGCCATGGGACGGGGTTGATGCCATCGCCAGGGCCAATGCCATGGGACGGGGCCGATGCCATCGCTGGGGATGATGCCATGGGACGGGGTTGATGCCATTGCTGGGGCCGATGCCACGGTCCACCACGGCTGCCGGAGCCCCGCCAGCGGGCACAGAGCTCGCCCAATGCCAAAGGGGTTAACGCGGGAGCTTTGTTTTTCCCTGACAGAGGCGGATGGAGCAGCCTCCCCGCCTCACCCCAGCGGGATGTTACACTTGACAATTGACTACTCGCAGCTTTCAGCTCTGTCAGCTACCATTAAGGCTGGGATCCTGGCTAATTTGGTGCTTCATTAGGGGCATTCGTTACTGTTAGCGCTGCCTGACAGCCGGGCCTGCTCCGCCAGCAGGGCAGGGGACAAGCAGG